CCATTCAGTCTGCCCTGGCTGAGAACGAAGGGGACGATATTCTTGCAGAGTGTATAAATTCGGCAATGCCCAAAGGCAAAATTCACAAGCCATTTAGAGTGCAGAAGATGCCTGAACAGGCTCAGCATCCATCCACCGCCACTGGCAACCTAGTTCAGCAAGACTTGGAAAAGAAAAAGCCAACTTCTCCTGTAAAACCTATGCCACAAAGCAGTGAGTACAGAGCAAGGATGCTCAAACGGCCAGAGGCTCCTAATAGCTTGTCAGAAGCAGCATCATATCCAGATAAAAACAAAGAAACAGAAAAGCAAGAGCCCAAAATTGTCACAAGAGAGTTTGCTGATAAGCCTGCTAATCCCGAGGTGAGAACGCGTCCTGGGTTTGCCTTTGATTCTCCGCATCATTACACACCAATTGAGGGCACACCTTATTGCTTCTCTCGCAATGATTCACTGAGTTCGCTTGACTTTGAGGATGATGATCTCGACTTGTCTAAAGAAAAAGCTGAGCTGCGAAAAGATAAAGAGCAAAGAAAAGTTCCCCCTTTGAAGTGCAGTGTAGAACAGCCAGTAAACACCAACAGAGTATCGGCATTTCAGACAGCTCCAACAAAACCCATTCAAAAACCAGGAGGTTTTCCACAAGCATCCAAAGAAAATACAGTTGCAGTGTGTGATGAGAAGCAGAAGTTTTCCATTGAAGACACGCCTGTATGTTTTTCAAGAAACTCATCCCTTAGCTCATTAAGTGACATTGACCAAGAAAACAACAACAAAGATTGCTCACACAAAGACGATGCAACTCAGATGGAAGTGCCCAGGCCACAAGCCTCTGGTTATGCACCAAAGGCCTTTCACGTTGAGGACACCCCTGTGTGCTTCTCTAGAAATAGTTCCCTTAGCTCTCTCAGTATTGATTCTGAAGATGACCTTCTCCAAGAATGCATCAGTTCTGCAATGCCAAAGAAAAAGAAACAGCCACCAAGAAGTAAGACTGAGGAACCAGGGGTTAAGGAAGAAAAGAGCATGTTGGCTGATGGTATTTTAGCAGAGGAACCAGATCTTATATTAGATCTCACAGACACACATAGCCCTATTTCAGAGCAAGCCTTATCACCAGACTCTGAATCATTTGATTGGAAAGCCATTCAAGAAGGTGCCAATTCTATAGTTAGCAGTCTTCATCAGGCTGCAGCAAGTCTCTCCAGACAAGGTTCCTCTGATTCAGACTCTATTCTGTCTCTCAAATCAGGCATTTCCATTGGATCACCCTTCCACCTTCCTTTAAATCAGGAGGACAATAAGCCTGCTACAAATAAAGGGCCAAGAATACTAAAACCTAGTGAGAAAAGCACTTTAGAGTCCAAAAAGAAAGAGGAAGAAACTAAGAGCCTGAAAGGAGGAAAGAAAGTGTATAAAAGTCTAATCACAGGAAAGCCCCGACCCAGTCTTGAAAGCATGTCCTCTCAGCACAGACAAGCTCAAGCTCCTGTGATCTCCAGAGGGAGGACAATGATTCATGTACCTGGTGTGAGGAGCAGCTCTCCTAGCACCAGTCCGGTACCGAAAAAGCTCCCTCCACGTGGCCAAATGTCAAAACCACCATCCCAAGCACCTGGTCCTGGAAACTCTCCAAGAACCATGAAAATCCCAACAAGTTCTGAACCTAGTCCTGCCAGGGACCCAGCATCATCTCAAGGAGGGTCAAGTAAAGGTTCCTCTCGATCTGGGTCTAGAGACTCCACACCTTCTAGACCAGTTCAGCAATCTCTAACAAGGCCCATGCAGTCCCCTGGTCGTGCCTCAGTTTCACCTGGTAGGAATGGTTTGAGCCCATCCAACAAATTATCTCAGCTGCCTCGCACTGCCTCCCCCAGTGCTTCTTCAACAAAATCTTCAGGATCCGGACGCATGGCTTACACTTCTCCGGGGAGGCAACTGGGCCAGCAAACACCAACGAAGCAGAGTGGCTTGCATAGAAGTACCAGTGGAATTCCTAGAAGTGAATCTGCCTCAAAAAGTCTAAGCCAGTGCGGAGCCTCAGGTCCTTCAAAGAAGGCAGAGTTGTCTAGAATGTCATCTACCAAATCCAGTGGGAGTGAGTCTGACCGCTCCGAGAAGCCTGGACTTGTTCGTCAGTCAACATTTATCAAAGAAGCTCCTAGTCCAACACTAAAAAGGAAATTAGAGGAGTCTGCATCTTTCGAGTCCTTGTCCCCTTCGTCTACAAGCCAGTCACAGACTCCAGTATCTAGTCCATCCTTACCGGATATGTCCCTTAGTCTTCCCTGCCAGGGAAGTGGTTGGAGAAAGTCTCCTCATGGTCAGAACACTGCAGAAAATGGTGATTCTAAGTCACTCCGAAGGCATGACATCTCCCGATCCCATTCAGAAAGCCCTTCCAGGCTCCCAATCAACAGGACGGGGACATGGAAAAGGGAGCACAGCAAACATTCATCATCTCTCCCAAGAGTAGGCACTTGGAAAAGAACCGGCAGCAGCTCTTCCATTCTTTCTGCTTCGTCTGAGTCCAGTGAAAAGGGTAGAAGCGAGGACGAGCGGCAGCCCGCTAATCCTCCTAAAAAATCAGGCAAAGAGGGGGGCCTGGAACGCAAAGGAACATGGAGGAAAATGAAAGAGAGCGAAAGCTCCTATGCACCTTCTATGACCTTAGACTTACCAGATCCAACTGGTGATGCTGCTCATTCATTGGGTGCTGCTATGTCCAAGACAGAAGATGTCTGGGTGAGAATTGAAGACTGTCCCATAAACAATCCAAGGTCTAGTAAATCACCCACAGCAAACACACCTCCCGTTATCGACAGTCAGTCAAGCAAAGGGCTACCTTGTGACAGGGACTCAAGCGAATCACACTCAAAACAGCCACTAGCAAGTGAGAATGCAGCTATGGGCCACCTGGGTTCAGAAACAAATCTGAATTTACTCAGGAGTAGCGAGTCTCTTGATAAAAAAGTCGCCGATATCAAGCCTGCTCCAAGTAACCCAAACATTGGCACAGAGGTCCATGAATTCCCAGTTGCTGAACGCACACCGTTTAGCTCAACTAACTCCAGCAAACACAGCTCCCCTAGTGGTGCTGTGGCTGCTAGGGTAAGTCCTTTTAATTACACACCAAGCCCCAGAAAGAGTAGTGCTGACAGCACAACTCCAAGACCATCCCAGATCCCAACACCTATTACAAGCAATGCAAAAAAGAGAGACACTAAAGGAGACACGACTGAAAGTGGGTCTTACATTGTCACTTCTGTCTAAGTTTGGACTTGCTCAAAAACCTTTATGGTGACAGCCAGAAAACACTCATTACAGACTCTGGCCTTGTTTATAATTTGCTTTGTGCTTTTGTGGAGAAACCTCTGTGGAGGTCACTTTCTTAGAACTTATTGTTGTTGCACCGTGTATTAAGAAACTTATTCTTGCTGGTTAATTGCTGTTTAAGCTAATGTTGGTTTCAAATCCAGAGAAGCAGCAGTAGGGAGGCGAAGATGTTTGACAATTTGTACTGTACAGATTTGATTATGTATATATTTAATTTAACCACACATCAGATTCCTGTATTTACCTTGACTTGACAAGAATATTGACTAATGGTGGACTATTTGGGATGCTGTTCAACTTCTGGTGGAATTCAATACTAATGCAGTTTTTTTTTTTTTTTAGAACAAACTGTAAACCTGTATTAATTCAAATGTTAAACTCATTCTTACTGTTGCATATTGTATGTTACATAATGAATTTTCTCCTTGCATGAACTGATTCAGTGGTATAGTATTTCCTATAAAGATAAACATTTCTGTGGACATATGACCTGTACTGATAGCTGTAGTGTAACATTTTACACTTTTGTGTGTGCGCTTTTGAAAGCAAGGAATAATCCTCAAAACTGTTGAATGATGTTGATGGTTGACATAGATTATATAAAAAAACATAGTTCCATTGCTCTGCTGTTTGTGTATAGTTGTTGCCAGATGAGCCGGGTGTCTTTTCAATGAAACAATAGTCTTGGAAGGACTGAAGTAATGTTTGATAATTAAATTATTTGCTGTAGGTTTTGGTGTTGGTACCTTTTTAAAAGCTAATTTGCTTCCCCTTTTATTTAGTACTTAAGCACATAATTAGATTCAACTTGTTTTGCCAAAACCATGGTGTAAATAATCACATTTTATTTGAGTTTTTTAATTTTTATTTTTCTCATGCAATAAAGTGGGCAAATCAATGTTTACAAAATATTTACAATAAAAAAATATTAAATTACTCAAATTGTATCATTTTTGTGGCTATGGCCTGCTTATTATAGACCTCTTATTAATTTTACGCATCTGTTAATCTGGAAAAAAAAAAGTACTTTTTTAAAAATTACTTTTTTTGGGGCTTCTTTTTTTTCTCCAGGAAGAAGAGAAAAAAATGAAAGACTTCTCTAAATTGAGTTAAAGAATTTTAAACTCATTTTTAAAGTCATTTAATGTAAGCCAATTACTCATCCAATTTAGTAAGGCAAATAAATATCTAAATTCCTTCATGATTCACATACAGTCAGCTCTCAGGAATGCAGTACTCGCCCAACAGTCAAGACTGTTATCAGCTATCATTTTGTAAGTGCACGCAGACACGTTATGATGCTAATGCCATAAATAGTACATTTAGTACATAGAGTACACAGTTCATTTGAGGGCTGTCTGATGGTTGCAGCAGCAATAAGCAGGCAAATAAGCACTGGTCATGTTACTTTTGCACTTGTACCAAGTTGTGGGTATGGTCTCACAGAGTGTGAGATTGCATGATCAAAAGTTTTCCCAGAACTCCTTCAGTTTGTGCTACAAGAACAGCATTCTAGACTGAATACTGAAAATGGTATTTTGTTCAAAAGGAAATTTATTCATGCAATCACCCTAAGAGTTCTTTGTAGTGGTTTCATGAAATCAGTAGGACTTCCTCCCTTTTCCTGTGGTTCCGCCTTAAAGTGGCAAGCAGTGCAAGTATTGTCTGTTAGTACAGAGCAGCTGGTGAGGTGAGTACAAGACATTTATATCGGATCTGTAAAACTCAAGTGCGATTCAAACCATGTGAACATTCACTTAAGTGAATACATTTAAATATTTAATTAAAATGTATAGTTTGATTATTTCGTTTATTATTTTCCTCATAAAAAGGATAAAAGCATCTGCAAAGTGAAATAAATGACTGATAATATGTGATACATTTACAGGACAAACAAAGCACTTTGGACAGCAGCAACTCGAGCAAAATGAACCAGACATTTTCAGACGATTACATCAATGAATCCTCAAGTGGATATGATTGTCCGTGGTGTTTTAATGAAAGTGAGACAGACCCTGTGTCTCCAGAGGTGAAAGAGTCCATGAGGACACTTTCTCTGGTCATCTACTGCCTGACGTTTCTCCTCGGAGTTCCCGGAAACATGTTTGTTGTGTACATCGCGGGAATGAAGATGAAGAGGACGGTTAATACAATATGGTTTCTCAATCTAGCGACTGCCGACCTCCTGTGCTGCCTTTCCATACCCTTCAGTGTGGCGGAGATCCTCCTTGAGCATCACTGGCCGTATGGATCCGTCATGTGCAAGATTCTCCCCTCTGTTATAGTCATCAACATGTTTGCCAGCGTTTTCATTTTGAACTTGATTAGTCTGGATCGGTTTGCTCAGGTGATCACGCCGGTTTGGGCTCAGAATCATCGTAATTTGTTGATTGCGCGACTGTCCTGTGCAACGGCCTGGCTCTTGGCTTTGTCGCTCAGCTTGCCCTTTATGTTATTAAGGCAAATTTTCACTTATGAGGAGTTTAACATCACACTTTGCACTTTTCATGCTGATGAAGAAGGCGATTCCAACCGTGCAACATCTGGAAGGTTAAGCATCATCAGATTTGTGTTTGGCTTTTTGGTTCCTCTCGTATGCATCACAACATGCTACGGATTCATCGCACGCAAGTTAGGCAGGAGTCATTTTCACTCTGGACGAGCGTTTCGCATCATGTTGGCTGTAATCGTGGCCTTTTTTCTCTGCTGGTTGCCGTATCACATAGTAGATTTGATAGTCATGTACGGAGAGGAATCCAGTTCCTCTGTGGCTTCGGCAGTGGATCCGTTGGCCGTCTCTTTGGCGTATGTCAACAGCTGTCTGAACCCCGTTCTGTATGTTTTCATGGGGCAGGATTTCAAAAGTAAGGTTAAACTTTCTCTAAGACGTGTTTTTGAAAGAGCTTTCTCTGAGGAGGGAACACAAGCATCACGATCCACAGTGTCACAACAAATGCACTCCGTGTAGTGAAGATATCAACTCATTTATACTGAGTTCAGGTCATTTTTCTCTGCCAAACCTATGCACTTTCAGACTTGTTCCACTTGCTTTAATATTTACTTTTTTTTTTTTTCTTTTGCATTAACCTCCCAAGTTTCTAGATCAAATACTGCTGTGAACTATCTTGACAAAAATATTTCTTTTAAAAACTGAAACTTAAGATATGCAAAACAGCTTACTTTAGCACTTTTAGGAAGTGTCCATTCTGGTTTGTTCTTTGTCAGGAAGTTATGAAATTCATTAAGTGCATCTAAAATGATATGTGAAAAAACTTCTGCAATAAAACATAGATATGATATTGTTTTATGTTACAAATAAGTCATTCCTAAACATTAAGCAATGCTCAATCAATTTTTGTTGCCTTTTGTAGCGATTTTTATTTGAATTAACAGGGTTTTTGTGAACTAGTTCATGACAAAGCGATTTCTTGTGTACCGAAAGCTCAAAAGCAGATTGCAGTTTGTAATACTGATGCCATTTTTAGGCAGATGCTGTACATTTTGAGGAAGTCAATGGTGTGTCTTTTGATGGGATGTGGTCTACAGGCTGTGAACGCTCATCGTGATTAAAAATACATGTACATGAATATACTGTCTTGAACACAATAGACTATAGAATAGCTGCTTATGCTATACTATTACTGTGTGTGTAATGTCAATCCAGATTTTCATATTTTACTGATTATAACTGTCTTCGATCATTTTATAGTTTTGCTATAATATTGTTTTCACTTTACTGTTGTTTCATGATCATGAAAAATTCAAAATGACGCTTAATTTGGACAAAAAGTTTATTCAGTATTATATTTGAGCTTTATGGAATACTTGATTTTGATTAGTCTGTGGTGTCATTCTTTAGCCAAATATTTAACAAGGTCAAACTGTAGGCTATAACTGATCGTTGTCTCAGTCAAATGTTTTATTTTCCTACACAGCCTTTCAAATGTCTCTCATATCACTCCACACGCTCTCTTCTCACACAATAAAACTATAGCCTATTTAAACCCAAATCATATTTTATGTCATTTCATTTCGTTAGTTTATTTGTAAGTAGCTTTGTAATTGTCCTGGTTACCCTTTTGGTGAAAATGACTGATTGACTTTACATTGTCTCTCATTTCTTAAAATAAAAGGCCTACTTTCACTTTAATGTCTGTTGTATTAATAGTAGTTTCCTCTACAATCAAGTGAAGTATAAATTGAGCTTAAAGGGATAGTTCATCCAAAAATGCTTGGATGCCCTGGGGGTAAGCAGATAAACATCACATTTTCATTTTTGGGTGAACTATCCCTTTAAATGATCCTTACGAAAGTTAACCATGGTTAAACGTGGTTTTGTAGTAAAACCATGGTTAATTTTCGTAAGGGAAAACCTGTACTATTCTTGATTTTGTCCTGCGCATAGGTAACCTAATTTAATGTTGATGTTGTTATGTCTGTCATTTATTTAGTTTTTTGGTTACATTTTGGATTTAGACCTTTGAATTTCACCATTCACCAAACGGTAAGCAGTTTGCCTCACTGCATTCGACACGAGACTTTAAAAGAAGAGAAGCAAAAATAAGCAGTTATTTTTTTAGAATGCATGTTTTGCTGACTCTTTTTCCAGAAGAAAACACTTATCTCAGTAATTTCCGTGTTCCTCTTTTTACGAATTAGTTGCATGTAAGAGGGTGCCACTGCTGCGCTCTCAGCAGTAATAGTTTAGTTGATTCACAATGTGTTTTAATCAACCTGCAACTGGTCACCATTTCTTATAAATTTATTTTAATCACGATTTTGCCGTCTCTAGTTCACTTAAAATATCCTGCCGTGTAAAAGCACCAACCACAGTCTCTCAATTAGGCTAATATGAGCTGAAAAATACATAATATTTATAAAGAAATTAATAAAATGGTGTTAGATGGGGTTTAGCATGTCCGACCACAGGATATGCCAACTTCCAAAAATTAAAACTATGCAAAAATAGTTTGAGGGACTTGGTGACTTGATTGTCTTCACTGTTTTATATTGTGACAAATGGGCCTGATCCATTGTTCAAGCCTACCGTAACAAAAGTTCGTTACCTAGCATATAAAAATAACATTGCTTTTCATTGACAAATCTCATAATGCTTTGTAATATCTACTCAATGTGACACATACATACATGCTGCTGTATCATCCAATCACCACCAGAGGTCAGTATCTCCAACCTGATAATGTGCATCAACTTTCATTCCTCACACATGTAGCTTTCTAACCCACCCTGCGTCTCAATGTTCATACTATCCATCCTAAACAGTATGTGAGATTAGAATAAGTGTGTCCAAAGCATAGTATGTTGAAAAGAGTATGCCTTGCGCTTTGGCGAAGATTCGGTCCAGAACTACAAACACGAATAAAACGCGTTAGAAAAACTACAAACGTGGCGGATGCGCGCGATCGACGGTTAGGTAGAGAGGTTTACAAAAAGGGGGTTGAGTGAGTTACTAATAAATAATCAACATTTAACCTGGTAAAAAATATTTATTTAATGTTATCCATGTTATATTTAATCTGCAACAGCAATGTGAACTGTACTTTTTCTTCACCAAAAGAGTACATATTTTAAGGGCGTAGTACAAGTAGGCACATTGAGACGCAGCACCAGTCACCTCATTACCCACAATGACACCACGATAATTTTTTATTAGTTTTGAAAATGGCAGCAGAGATTTGAATGAAAGAATAAAAAAAAAAATTGGTGTTTGAAAATCTCCCACTAACTCACATTGCTAAAAACCATTTATACTCAAACTGCCAACATTGTCTAGATAATGAATTTCGAAATTCAAAATGAAACTGCTTTCATAATCCACAACATAACCACAAAATGAATTGCTAATTTCAGATGGCAATTTTTTTAAACAAAGTCTTGTGAAAAGCACTATGGTTGTCTATATTACTGCGTTTATTTACATATTGAATTGCTATTTAATACTTGTATGTATTCGGCAAACACTTTTATCCAAAGCAATTTACATTGCATTTAAGCTATACACGTTTTCTTTTTTAATTCATGCATTCACTGGGAATCAAACCTGTGAGTCTTATCGCAACATGAAGACTTAACCATCTTTACGTAGAGTTGACCATGATGTTTCCCAACTCAACTGAGTGTTGGTGAAACCTCTTACATGAAGTGTTTAGAAGTGTTAAACGTGAGAGAAAAAAAACATTCTGCACTATAACATTCTACTGTGAACTGGATAACGGTGAATCATCACAGACAGACGTGAGTTATGATTATTTATAGTTATTTTACTGTTTGTAAAGATTCTTTTTTTAATATACGTTCTACTGAAAGTAGCATTTAATGGTTGCACATTTGTATCAGCAATACAATAGTAATGCATTAATCTGATATTTATAAATAACACATCTGACACATCATTTTAAAAATGATTTATAACATTTACATTGACAATCTGTGATATTAGCAGGATAATCCGGACACTTCAATAATAGAAAATGAACCAGACGGACTTTACAAGGGGAGTTGATTATCAGTGTCATTTTGACGAAACAGTGAGGAATTCTACGAGAGTGATTTCTCTGGTCTTCTACTACCTGACCTTGATCCTCGGCGTTCCTGGAAATGCATTTGTCGTGTATGTTGCTGGATTGAAGATGAAGAGGACTGTTAATACAGTAGGGTTTCTCAATCTAGCGATTGCCGACCTCTTGTGCTGCCTTTCCACTCTTTACTATTTGGCACAAAGATCTCATCTTGATCACTGTCCATATGGATCCATCATGTGCAAGATTCTCCACTTCATTGTGCTCATCACCATGTTTGCCAGCGTTTTCACACTGAGCTTGATTAGTCTGGATCGGTTTACTCTTGTGATCACACCGGTTTGGGCTCAAAATCATCGCAGCTTGTTCATCGCACGACTGTCCTGCGCAGCGGCCTGGATTCTGGCTTCAATTCTTAGTGTGCCTTTTATGATGTTAAGAAAGACTTACACAGAAAATAACAAAACATACTGCCTGCATTTTCAACATGATGAAGACCATTTTAAACTGTATAGAAGGTTAAGCATCATCAGATTTGTGTTTGGCTTTTTGGTTCCTCTCGTATGCATCACAACATGCTACGGATTCATCGCACGCAAGTTAGGCAGGAGTCATTTTCACTCTGGACGAGCGTTTCGCATCATGTTGGCTGTAATCGTGGCCTTTTTTCTCTGCTGGCTGCCGTATCACATAGTGCGTTTGATAAAAATATATAGAGAGGAATCAAGTTGTTTGGCAGCTTTGGCAGTGAATCCGTTGGCTGTGTCTTTGGCGCATTTCAACAGCTGTCTGAACCCCGTTCTGTATGTTTTCATGGGGCAGGATTTTAAGAGCAACATTAAACTTTCTCTAAGACGTGTTTTTGAAAGAGTTTTCTCTGAGGAGGGAACACAAGCATCACGATCCACACAGTCACAACAAATGCACTCCGTGTAGTGAAGATATCAACTCATTTATTCATTCATTTTTCTGTGCCAGATCTATGCGTTTTCAATCAAGACTCTTTCCACTTGTTTTGATATTTTCTTATCTAGTGCAATGACGTGTGACTTACAAGTCCAAATACTTTTTGGGTCCACTGTAGTTTGATAACTTACCTATTCAGTGTCTTTTCTGATTAGATATTTTCAGAATATATATTTTCAGAATAATATTACCTCAGAATAATTGCCTAGATCAAATGCTCTTGTCAAGTATCTTAACAAATAGTTTATTTTGACATATGTCCACTCTTTTGCTTTTGTTTCCTTTATTTCTTTTTTGGGTCAGGAAGTTATGAAACTCTCATTTAGAGACTTAGTTTTTTTTTCTTTTAAAAAAAAATATTATTTCTAAAATAATTTGTTCTCAAACATCTGCAATTAAACCGAGATACGATAAAGAAGGAATAGTGTTTTATTTTACAATGTTTTTGCTATTCTTAATTGGCAATGGTCTTTTTTTTTTTTTGCGCTGTTTTCATTTTTCTGTGCCAGATCTATGCGTTTTCAATCAAGACTCTTTCCACTTGTTTTGATATTTTCTTATCTAGTGCAATGACGTGTGACTTACAAGTCCAAATACTTTTTGGGTCCACTGTAGTTTGATAACTTACCTATTCAGTGTCTTTTCTGATTAGATATTTTCAGAATATATATTTTCAGAATAATATTACCTCAGAATAATTGCCTAGATCAAATGCTCTTGTCAAGTATCTTAACAAATAGTTTATTTTGACATATGTCCACTCTTTTGCTTTTGTTTCCTTTATTTCTTTTTTGGGTCAGGAAGTTATGAAACTCTCATTTAGAGACTTAGTTTTTTTTTCTTTTAAAAAAAAATATTATTTCTAAAATAATTTGTTCTCAAACATCTGCAATTAAACCGAGATACGATAAAGAAGGAATAGTGTTTTATTTTACAATGTTTTTGCTATTCTTAATTAGCAATGGTCTTTTTTTTTTTTTTGCGCTGTTTTCATCTTTTTTTCTTTTTTTTTTTGAGACAGATGCTGTAAGTTTTGAGGAAGGTAATGGTATGTCGACTGGTAGGATGTGGTCTACTGACACTTATCTTGATGTCTGTGAATATTCTGTTTTAAATGCAAAATCTACAGTTTACTAATATATTACCAGTAATACTAATGTCTTGTGTGTGTGTGTAACATCAATCCAGATTGTAATGCTATTATGTATTATGCTCTTTATTCAATAACTTAATAGTTTTGTTAAACTATAGATTTCCTATTCTATATATTTTAAGCCACATATCACATGACTGCAGAGCATATAATCTCTAAAAGATATTATAGTTGAAGATTACAGAAGTAGGCTATAGGTTTTAAGTTAGAATTACTGTCTTATGATCATTAAACATTCAAATTGTCTTTTAATTTGGACAAAAGCATTAGCCTATTCAGTATGCTATGTCTCTTGTATCACTCCACACTGTATCTTATCATACAATAAAATAACTTAAACCCACATAATCTTTTTATGCAATTTCATTTCGTAGTAGTTTTGTATTGGTGTCCTGATGGCCTTTTTGGTAGGCCTATTTTTTTTTTTTGTGAAAATATTGACTCCCTTATTTTTGCAAATAATAGATCTATACTCTACAATTAGGGCTCCAGAAATGGATGTTTTCACTTCAAACACCATAAAGTTAATGTTAATAGTGAAGGATAAATAGAATAGAGATTTAGACTTTTTTTCTTTATTGCTTCTTTACTAATCTTAACCTACTCTGTATTCATATTTTTACTTACAGTTTAACTGTAGGTAATCTCATGCTCATAAGTAAACTAATCTAATGTTATTATTATTATAATTAAGTAATTTATTACATTTTTCTTCAGGCATAAATAGGCCTACCTACCTCACCTCAGAAATTCGCGCCATTCCTCGGAGTCCCTGCTACTTTAACACTGTTGCCGCGGGTTGAAGCGACTCCAATAACATGATATTTATCACCTGGAATGCGAATTTTAGCAGGGGAACCCCGCCAAAAACCGTGTACTTTACCCCCAGGAACGCGATTTTTAACTGGGGACCCCCTCGAAACATGATTGGGCTAGTTTTGAGTAGCAAATGGGCGGGGTTTCTTGTGAAAACCCGGCAACCCTGCCTGCTCGCGCGCTGCTGCGCTAAAAAGCTAAAACTCTGACGGACTTTTGAAAATTACCAGTAAATGCACGAAAAGCGGGATGAAACGGTTCTTATGTTGACTAATTAACATTTTGGATCCAGACCGTTGAATTTCACCAAACAGTGAGTAGGCTAATTTACGTCACTTTCATATCAGGATTAGCTAAAGGTGTTTACAGTTTTAATGAACGTGTGAGGGAAATTAGATCACATGTCCTGCAACTGGTAACCATTTTAATCACTATTTTCCCATCCCTATTCAATTTAAACGGTCCTGCAGTGTACTACATGTAGCAATATTACATAGTCGTTTAATTGATATCTCCATAAATGCATATTTATTTAAACAACAGTGAAAAAAATGCTGTTTAAAATAGTTTTAAGTCACACCACAGCATATGCCAACTTCCCAAAAGCATTAAAACGATCCAAAAATATTTCTCATCAGGCTTTAAAGTTGAAGTTGATGGAGACATTGTACAAATCTTACTATTATGCTATGTAATTTTTACTCAGTATAACACAACACCAGCAGAGGTCAGTATCTCCTACCTATCAAAATCCAGAATTTAATATACATCACCTGCGACTGTTTAGTCAGATGGACGTGTTTCTCTGCTCAACACATTTAATCTCTCACACAAGTGGCTTCCTCAAGATTTCTCATAGATTAGACATAACATGACTCTTTGTTTGTACTGAAAATGGCAGCATTGATTTGGATAAAAGGGTTTTAAAATATGATTGAAAGTCTCCACCAACTCAAACCACCACCAACTAGTGCTTCTGTCATTTTATAATTTTGCTGCTGTTGTTGTTTTTTTTCTCACTTTTGTGTTATATGGACTTATCATAAATTACAAGCAAAGTCTGTTATGTATAAACAGTGTTTTGCATATAAAGTGAAAAAATAATAAAGTTTAAATGTATGTTTATTGGAATGTTCATTAAACATTCAATTAATTTTGAGTAAAGATTGTTCATTATTAGTGCAAATAGTTGCTAACAGCAGTTTTCTCTGGGTCAAGTAGCCAAAGCATAATGTTTTCATAATGTTTAAAAAAACATAAAATTCAGCTATGCTTTAAAAGCAAAAGCAAAAAATAATCAGTTACATCTTTAGACACATGCACATTTGCTGACAAAACTGACGGCTGTAACTTTCTACCAAAACACCTTCCTCTTTTTCCTCACGACATACTGTACACTCTTAAAAATAAAGCTTCTGTATTGGCATCAATGGTTCTATGAAGAACCTTAAAAATCCATGGAACCTATGACTGACAGAGTGAAAAATCATAACAATGGACCGGATAAAATAAGATATGTCAAAACATTCGCTCCATCCAGATATATATATATATATATATATATATATATATACTGTATAGTGTGTGTGTGTGTGTGTATGCATGTATGTATGTGTTGCATCAATTTAAAAAGAAAAAAAATAGGGTCACTCTTAAAGTTTGAAAACCACTGATGTAGAGGCACATATTTCCTGTGAGCCTATCTTGCAACAATCTAAACAACAGAAATAGAAACGAAAGCAAACACTTATGCGCTACCGCCTTCTCTGCTGACTAATCACTTCAGCTACATCAGTCTTCTCTTTAGACACACATTTGCTGGTAGTTACTAAGAAACTTTTTGCCAACATGTACCTCTTTTTCTTTCTTTTTTTTTTTTTTTTTTTGTAGGTTTGAAAATGATCAAAGACTTCTGCTTTCCTGTCCCAAACTTATCTTCGATAACAAAAGGGCCATTTGGCATTACTGAAGGCACAGAGGTGCTGATAGTGATCAAGGCCTGTAGGCCAACATGACATACAGTAATTGTCACACCTTAAGCACCATGGGTGAAGCTGTAATCTGCTGATTGGTCAGTTTAAATGTCTCAGATTTGGTTTGTCACATGGTCAAGGAAGGGATAAAAGAAGATTGTAATTTTTGCTCTTTCTCTTTTCTTTGCTGTCTCTTTTCTTGGCTGGCGATCTCACTTCGTTGGGGCTCTGCCCTCTCTCCCTCTCTTTCTCTCTCAAGTAACATTTTACTTATATGCTGGGTACAATTAACTATATGTTTTACCATCCATCATCTATTTTGTAACCAATTCAAGTGTAACCAGAACAAAATACTGTTATTAAACCATTTCATTTGTAAATTATGTACTAACTAGACTTGATTCAGCATTAACACTGCAGCGCTACCTATTGCAATTATAATATATTCACTCAATAGCAATGCTCTCCCACATATTTAGCTATTCTAACTGCGCTTATTTCCGTCGTTGGTATAAGTGGCAGTGGGTGGTAATAGACAAGAAATTTACAGTTTTATACCATCCTGCTGATAACGTTTTAGTCATTCGGCAATCCTACAGCCTGAACCACTGTGGCTACAGTTGTCGTATTCCTCTTGTTAAGCCACTCCTAAACCACAGACAACGTCAGAGGCGTCTTACCTGGGCTAAGGAGAAGAAGAACTGGACTGTTGCCCAGTGGTCCAAAGTCCTCTTTTCAGATGAGAGTAAGTTTTGTATTTCATTTGGAAACCAAGGTCCTAGAGTCTGGAGGAAGGGTGGAGAAGCTCATAGCCCAAGTTGCTTGAAGTCCAGTGTTAAGTTTCCACAGTCTGTGATAATTTGGGGTGCAATGTCATCTGCTGGTGTTGGTCCATTGTGTTTTTTGAAAACCAACGTCACTGCACCCGTTTACCAATAAATTTTGGAGCACTTCATGCTTCCTTCTGCTGACCAGCTTTTTGAAGATGCTGATTTCATTTTCCAGCAGGATTTGGCACCTGCTCACAC